GAGAGGGGGGAGGCACACGGTGATGAGCCTTGCTCAGAGACGAACACGCGGTCGAAGATTTGAGGGATTGTTTTGCATTCTGATTTCTTTGCCCGCGCGTAGGGCAGGGGTCGTGAGAGAGGGAGGCGGTGCTGCCGGCGCTCATGGTGAGAGGTGGAGGTAGGTAGGTGGTGCTGTCGCTACGACGAGAGCATGTCGTTGCCTTGAATCACTCTGTCGGAATTCACTTATGGCAAGTGGCCTCGCCCCTAGGTAGCTCGCTTATCTTCTTCAGGACAGCATTGCCAAGGTGTCTTGTTGGGGGCGCCAATCAATCACCATTCGGTTGGTCATCCTGATGATTAGACCCTCATCTTCGTTCTGATAACGCAGGTCGTTGTCATCACTAGCTTCAGCATCATGACTGTGTCCGGACTGGAGTATGGCCCTTATAGAAGGTCATGACGATAAGGCGCTATGTTGGGGCGAAGAGGGTGGCACCTCCCCCGTTGGCGCTCTGTTCCGGCTTACACATCGTCATGACGATGAGTACACTTTCGACGCATGATCGTCAGAGCTTCATTGTCTTTTTTCCGAACTTTCATCTCGACTGAAACTTGCCGTCTTCCCCCGATTAGAACGCACGGTCATTATCACTGCATCTGGACTGAAACTTGCCTCCAACATACCCTTAATGACCGTGCGTTGTATTCGGGGGAGGAGACGTTAGACGCCGAGGGGCCTGAGGAATTCACCATAGCCACGTGAACGTGAGAGCTTCGCCTTTCGTTTCCAACTGGTTCTTCATTCATCAGCCATCTTCTTCGTTCTTCTGTTCTCTGTCACCTTCTGCCTTCTTCATTAGTCAGCAGCTTCCTTCACAATAGCCAGACGACTCCATGTCCATGTCAAAAAACAACTGGTCCGTGCACATTTGCTTCCTTCAGTAGTCAGCAGTTGTCCTTTTCTTAAGGATCAGCGCACGTTTGCTTCTCTTTTGGAAAAGCATTCGAGAAACTTTTCCTTTGTTTTTTTCTGTAATTCATTGATGTTTTTGTTTAAAGGAACTATACACATGAATGAATTGCTCAGTCAAACCCACCAATGAGGTGGCTGGGGGACACACACACTCAGTTTTCTTTTCTGTAGGACACACACTCGGGAAAAAAAACAAAAACGGAGGACACCTTTTTTTCCACTTTCTGCCACCAATGAGGTTCGGGCTTGCCCAGCCCGCCGGAGTGCCTTGCCCAGCCCGTCGGTCACCACCTTGTTGTGAGGCACGCCACGCCCGTTTCCCGGCTTGTATACTAGCAATAGTAATAGGGCCTCGCTCCGCTACTCTCGACGTGCACAAAAGACCAAAATCATTTCGGTGTATCTTTCCATGTTCTGGCGGAAGATTCACTTTCGTTTTTGCACATTCCGAGAATCTGGTCACGATTGTGATGCTCTTACTTCGCCTCTTTGGTTCCATTCGGGAACATCGTAGCAGAGTACATGTCGCCTATTTGGTAAGTACTGTTATCACGATTTGGTGTCCGGTTTCCTGAAACGGAACGCAGTCCACCAGATTAATCACTTTTGGATGTTACGTAAGTCTGGTTTCACTTTCACTTTTTGGTGTCAAGATCGATCGCAATATTCTATTGGATACGTGGGTCTGGTTTCACTTTCGCTTTTTGGGATCCTCAAGCTCTAATTGGGAGGAAGGTCCGAATGGGGGGAGAGTGCAGCTGTAGTGTATATGTACTATATTCTCTTTTTGTCTACGTCCACCCAAGCTGTAATTGGGAGGCAATGGGAGTTGCAATCCGCCATTACGATCTTTGCATGCGTTCGTCTCTGTGAACTTGTTGTGTGAGGTTCCTGCATGCGTTGGTTTGCCGTCTCAGCTGCCTGCATTCTATTGATAGACATGGCTCTATTGATATTCAGGGAGCACAAGTAGAATCGACAAGCAACAGATGGTTTGTAAATATCTGTTGCCTTTTAGGCAACGGCAATGGGCAGGCCTGTGAAAGACACGTCGTGGAGTTGCTTTGCATATGTGATGAGTGGTCTTGCCGTCACGAGTCCTGGACTGGACTTGCAGGAATAAAACCAACACAGGAAAAGGGTTTAAAGAGTTCCAACTTGAGCGGTTTGGTAAAGGAATACAGGAGTAGAGGAGCAAGAATAAAACCAAGAATTCCAACTTGAGCGGTTTGGGAAAGCAATACAGGAGCAGGAATGAAACCAACACGGGAAAAGGGTCACATGAATGGTCTTGCCGTCATGATTCGTGGACTGGCCTTGCAATTGTGATCTACTATCGAAACAGAAAAGATCTTTACCTATTACTCTATCAATCTATCTATCTATCTATCTATCGATCTCTCTCTCCCTCGCTCGCCTTCTCTCTCCATCTCTTGCTCGCACTCTTGCTCACTCTGTCTCTCGCTCTCTCTCGCTCTACTTATCTCTCTGTCTCTCTGTCTCTCTGTCTCTCTGTCTCTCTGTCTCTCTATTTGTGTATTTGTTTTGAAAATGTGACGTGATTGTTCTGCAATGGGTGATAATTGTTCCGCCACGATGAAGGATGATCATGCTTGACTTATGATGGGGAACAAGGTATTATTGCTTATCATGGAGACGTGGATTGATTTTGTCTTGGGTGGGTAATCGTGAGGGCTGCCAAAAGTGAGGACGGAGCCGGCAAACAGCGAAGGTTGTAGTGAATCCACACTATCATGGAGACGTGTTGTAGTGAATCTTTCTGATTGAAAAACAAGGAGTTCAGGGTTTCATCTTTTTGGTTAGGGCTGTAGAATTCCAAATGTATGGAAAGCTGATTACCATGGCTCGCAAAATCGACTCCGGCGTGTTGTCGCTCGGCTGCATGGAGTCTCTCTAATTCAAAATAGTTGTTGGTCATTCCTTATTACAGTAATTGCTTTACTCTCCAATTCAAAATAGTTTTTGTGGTTGTTTGTTTGTGGATTTCTGATCGAGTTTCTGAATTTGTGATTGAGTCGTACATTTTGCCTT